GCGCCACAACGGAACATAATCCAATTAAGAATTTTATTAATTTACAGCAAGTAGGATATGAACAAGGGTAACAGCGCTGGGCAGTAGACAGCACTTCAAAAACCAAAGCTCCACTGACTGCTACCTTGATTCACTCAAACTGTCTCCTTTTATTCCAATTTCTTCTTTTGTCTCCCTGGAATTTGCAAGCCAATTCCTGCCGTTATCTTGTGTTTGTATAAGCAGTCTCTGGTGTGAATGGTTGTCGTGATCTTATCTTGCATCAGCTGTGTCCGTTCGCTGTTTGCATACCTCCGTGGCCTAACCTTATCTCAATAGACCATACCTCAGTCTGTATTTTTCTCACAGTTGTCTAACCTTTACATATATCTTAATAAACAATATCTCAATCTGTAGTTTCTTACAATCAATAGCAGTGAATTGTCAATAATCAATAGCAGGGAGTTATCAATCTTTAATAGCAGATTATCAATAATCAATAGCAGGGAGTTATCAATAATAGCAGAGCACCATTTAATCTGCATTTTTCACAATATTACAAAGACATCAATCCAATATTCATTACTGATTGATGATTACTAATTAATAACCATTACAAAGAAATTTGTCCAGTATAAACTATTTATTGATAATTAATTAATCAATATTACAGATAAATAAATCCAATAGTAATTATTAATTCTTTATTATTACCAGCATTACAAAGAAATAGATGCAATATCAACTGATTATTAATTTATCTACACTAAACATAAAATTATCTATTATTAATTATTAAGGGTTAATTAATCAATACTACATACATCAATCCAATATTAATTATGAATTATTATTAATAATACATATTAGAGATAAACTAATCCTATATTATTAGTTATTGATTATTAATCAATATTACAAAGAAATCAATCCTATATTATTAATTATTTATTATGAATACTACAAAGTAACCAATCCAATATTGTTAATCAAGGTTACAAATAAAATAATCCAATAATATGTGTTAATTATTGATTATTAATCAATATCACAAAGGAATCAATCTATGTTATCAAATATTATTAATTATTAATAACTCAATATTACAGAAACTTTTATCCACCCGTTATTATTATTTATTATTAATTAATCAATACTAGAGAGATATCAATCCTATGTCAATTATTTATCATTAATTAATCAATATCACAAATTATTAATTCCAGTATTAGTTACTGATTATTGATCAATATCACACAGGAATCGGTCCAGCATTAGTAATTGATTATTGATCAGTATCACACAGGAATCGATCCAAAGCACGTTCCCTGTAACGTTTCCTGCTCGCCACGAGCTCTGAAAGCGCCAATCGCGGGTCTGTAAAATCACAAACTAATCACTAATTACACAAGTTAATTAGTAATAAATTAATAATTACACAAGTTAATTAGTAATGAAATAATAATTGTAATAGCAATAAAATCAGAGCAATAAAAACATGGACAATGAGGGTCAGGACACCACGAGATGATAAAAAATGAAGAATTTTGGACATCTGGGAGTTTTGGGCACTGTGAAAACACCGATCAGTTGTTCTTGAAATTTTAAAAGTTTATTAGTAATAAAATAGTTATAAAAACAGAAAAATAAAACTTAAAATAATAAAAATAATAAAAATAAAATCAGAGTAATAAAAATCTGGACAATGACATTTAGGACACCACTAGGCGATAAAAAGAAAATAATTTTGGATGCCCAGATGTTTTTGGGCACCGTGAAAAATGCCAGTTCTGGTTCTTTAAAATCTTTTACAAATTACTGATTCAAACAAGTTAATTAGTAATAGAATAGTTATAAAAATAGCAATAAAATAGGAGTAATAAAAATGTGGATGATAAAAAATGAAGAATTTTGGACATCCAGGAGTTTTTCGGCACTGTGAAAACACCGATCAGTTGTTTCTGAAATTTTAAAAGTTTATTAGTAATAAAGTAGTAATTGAAAAATATAAAAATCATAAAAAATAAAAATAAAAGAAGAAGAAAAATATTAAAATAATAGTAAAATAAAATTTAAAAATAAAATCAGAGTAATAAAAATGTGGACAGCGAGGGTCAGGTACTACGAGATGATAAAAAATAAAGAATTTCGGACATCCAGGAGTTTTTGGGCACTGAGGAAAATAACAATCAGTTGTTTTTTAAATTTTAAAAGTTTATTACTAATAAAATAGTGATTAAAAAATAAAATTAATAAAAAAAAATCAGAGTGATAAAAATGTGGACAATGAGGATGAGGACACCATGAGATGATAAAAAATGAAGAATTTTGGACAGCGAGGAGTTCTTGGGAACTGTGAAAAACGCCACATGCTGGTTTTTAAAATGTTAAAAAATTACTGATTCAAAAGTTAATTAGTAATAAAATAGTTATAAAAATAGCAATGAAATTGGAGCAATAAGAATCTGGACAATGAGGGTCACGATGATGACAAGACAATAAAAAGCGAAGAATTTCGGACATCCGGATGTTTTTGGGCCCTGTGGCAAATGCCAGTCAGTTAGTTTTTAAAATTGTACAAGTTTATTAGTAATAAAACAATTATTAAAAAACAGCAATAAAATCAGAGCAAGAACAATGTGGCCAATGCGGCTCAGGACAGTGACAGGACAAGAAAACAGCGAGGGATTACGGACGTCCGGATGGGTTTGGGCACTGAGCTGCCAAAACCACGCCTTGAACAAGGACTAACCCTAAAAGCAGCAGCCTGGTGCACATTCATAGATCTCATGCGTGATGCATAAATCCTGTCCCATCAAAGAACCCTGAGCAGTGGCAGCCTCTGCTCAATCCTGCGGCGCCTTCGGGGCTGAGCGAGGCAGGAAGAGTTAATTGCCTTTAATTAGGGAGCCCTTGTGGCAGCACATTGCTCTGCCTCTCAGCATTTCTCACAGAGGAGCACAGAGGAAACGAAAGAGAAAACAATTTCTGTTTCTGCTCCTTGTTTCAGTATGTGAAATGTGTTTGGAGAATTGTTTAACAATTTCTTACCCAAATTGTTGTGGGGTGGTTGCTGGGTTGGTTCTGGTGAGGATCCTTTGAGCCTGGGGGCCAATCCAACCCACCTGGGGCTGGAATCTCAGAGAGGGTCACGAGTTGTGAGGAGTCAGATTTGGGAGTTAGAAAAAGCAGGTTTGTAGTTTTAGTGTCTCCTTTAAACAGTATATTAACAGAAAAAGCGGGTTTGCAGTTTTAGTGTCTCCTTTAAACAGTATATTAACAGAAAAAGCAGGTTTGCAGTTTTAGTGTCTCCTTTAAACAGTATATTAATGTATATTAGTATAGTTGTAATAAAGAAACCATTCATCCTTCTGAGCTGGAGTCAGGCATCGTCATTTCTTCCCCCTGGCTCGCCTGCATTTACAATAAGCCATAAATTCTTTTTCTCTGGAAGATTTCGGTGTCCTGCGGCTGCCGTCCCGGTGCAAGTACCTCATTCCTTTCTTCCCACTCACAGTTTCTATTTTAACCACAAAAGCTCAGTTTTAACCACAAATCTACATTTACCATACCAATAAAATGTTAATACAGCACTACTAATCAATGTAACAATACAAACCCTATTCAATTTAATACTTGCAAAAAGCAAACCATAAAATTTGCATTTTTTCATGAGGACATCCTGAGGCTGCTGCAGGGACAGCGATGTCACCGCTGTGACGTCATCGGGGACGGTGACATCATCAGGGACATCGCTGCTGTCACTTCTCCCCTCTCCCCTCCCCACGTGGGATTTGAGACGAATTCGGGGAATTTTCTGAGGATTTTCATTGCAATTGTCCCAAATGCTGATGGGAATTCTGGGGTGACGTCACTGGGGACACTTGGGGACATTCTGAGGACGCTCTGGGGACACTGATGGGGGTGGCGGTGGGGCAGGGGCTGAATGAGCCCCCTCGGTGCCTTGCAGCAGAGCCGGGTTATAAATGACAATAGAATAATCGGCTTTTGAAATTCTGTATTGCCTTCTGCACGTTGTTATTGATCACGAGGATTTTGCTGTGGTACTTGATATTGATATTGATTACTGATAATTCCTTGCAGCTGCTCGCTGGTACAATAAAATCGATCTGTTTATGCGTGCACCGTATAACAAATTTACTGCTAGAGTAATAAATAGATATTATATCATAGGCTTAATATATTAAAAACAGATAAATAAAAAACAGATCAGTAATAAATACTGAAATAGAGACTATGCAATGTTAAAATGCTTTTGTGTGACTGACTCAGGTGTAAAATAATTCCGTTGTTTCTCACATCTGCGGACCAGCCTCACCAGCTGATACCAGTGACACAAAGCTCAGAAGAATTTATGAATGTATCAGGGGGTCTGAAACAACAGGGTGGAACCATGAGAAGAAATCAAATATATCAACTTAATCTACAGAATGTCCTGCAGACAAGTCAGAGGTGAGACCCAAACACGAGTTCCTGGGACATCCAAACCTCCCGGGAGTGTTTGAATAATGTCGAAACTCAGGAGTGTGTTCGTGGCCCTGCAGTGGAACCGGATCCAGAGAACGAAGGGTTAAGTTGAGGGCGAGTTCTTTGGCCGAGCCCAAAACCCTTTTTTATCCCTGATTAAACTTTGTTTAGTAATCCCTTAGTGAACTTTGTTTTTCACACCCGGCTGGGATTTGGGGGAGCCGGGGGGTCCCTGGACAGCCCCCGCTGCTGAGCACTGAACCCCCCTCACCGAGCACCGGGACCCCCCAAAAACCGCACCCACACCCCTTCAGTGCCCCCGACCCCCCCTGCACCGACCCCCCCGAGCACCGGGCCCGGACCCCCCTTTGTGCCCCCCACCCATCACGGGGGTTCTGCCCCCTCCCCTTTGACCCCCAGAGCCGCGGGACCCCCGGGAACAGCGCCGGGACCGGGGGGGCCCAGGGATGTGAGAACTGGATCCGTAAAGGATTCCCAGATCCTGGCAGAAAGCTCACACTGCCTTGGACTTGTCCATGCAAACTCTGAGATTTCATTGTGCCAGCGAGCAGCTGCAAGGGATTATCGATAATCAATATCAGTATCAGCACCTGAGCAAAATGCTGGGGGTCAATAGGAACCTGCAAAAGGCAATAGAGAAATGCCAAACCCAATAGAAAATGCAGAAAAATGCAAAAGGCATCAGGGGAATGCAAAAGCCTTCTGAGTGCTCTCAGAATGTCCCCAGGTGCGGCTAGTAACGTCATCCCAGAAACTCCCATCAGCATGTGGGACAATGCCGATGAAAATTCCCAGAAAATTCCCCAAATTGGTCTCAAATCCCGCGCGAGGAGGGGATGGTGACGCCAGCGCTGTCCACCATGATGTCACTGTCCCTGATGGCATCAGAGCGGTGCCATCGCTGCAGCAGCCTGGGGATATCCTCCATGGCTTTTTGGCACCGCTGGGCCAGTGCGCACCTGCTGGGGCCACCGGGGCCGCCGGAGCCACCACAGGGACTCAAGAGGAGGTCGTGGATGTCCCCAAGTGTCCTCAGCAGGTGATCCTTGCCCAGGCAGGCACTGGCATCCCACAGCTGCCCAATCTTGGCCACTTCGGCCACCAAGGCCTCAGGGACATCGGGGGACGCCTTCTTTGTCCCCTCCAGGATGGCCTCGATGTCCCCGAGCCGGCGCTGCAGCTCCTCGGGGAACCGCCTGCCTCCTTCACACTCTTCCACCAAGCGCTCCAGCGGCCCCAGGGCCGCCTGTGCCCAATGTCCCCTTCTGGTGGCCACCATGGCTTGGCTGCTGGCCACCACGGCCTCTCCCACGGCCTCGCTGGTGGCCGCAGCCACCTGCGCCTTGTGCGTGGCCCCTGCCGAGGCCCTCTTTTCCCTGCCCAGGGCCAACTTCAGCCGCTGGGCTGTGGCCCCAGGCTGCTCCCAGCTGTCCTCCTGCGGGTGGCCACGTCCTGCAGGTCCCCGGCCCGGATGGCAGCGATGGCCGCGTCCCAGCAGGCGTCGCGGAGCTCGGTGGCATCCCAGGCCAGCAGGGCCCAGCTGTCCTCGAGCCTGACCACCAACTCCTGCCAGGCCAGGCCGCAGCTCTCACATCGGCCCAGGTGGCCCCTGGGGTGGCCCCAAGCGCGGCCAGGGCCTGGCCCAGGGAGGGGACACCACGGTGGCCCAGGGAAGTGACATCGCCCTGCTCCAGGGTCTCACGGAGACTCCAGGTGAAGTTCCTCAGGTTCGCGTGCAGGACTCTGGGGACATGAGCTGCTGCTCGTCCCTCTGTAACCCGGTCACGGTGGCTGCCACCTCACCCAGGGTGGCCACCACATTCACCAGTGACTCCAGCTGGTACAGGGACACCTGGGGAGGGGACAGGGGAGGTGTCAGGGACCTGGTGGCACTTGTGGTCTCCTGTGGTGGCCCCAGTGTTCTCCCAGGGTCCCCTTTGTCCCCTCCCTGGAGGGCTCTGCTATCCCCTATGTCTCTTTGTCACCCCCTCATCCCCTCTGTCACACCCCTGCCACCTCCCACTGTCCCCTCTTCTTGCCCAGGGAGCCTTAAACCGTGTCTGTGTCTCCAACAGTTTCTGCTCAGTCAGGCCTCAGATATCGGGCCCCTTTATCAGCTCCATTGCTTTACTCTCTGTTTTATTCCCCATACGGGGGCACCAGGGCTCTGCCCAACGGGGGTCACTGGGGATCATCCAGCCCGGATCCTCCCATGGGGAATGGAGCTGCAGCAGCGCACCAAGCTGTTCCCTCACTCTCTTCCCTCACTCCAAGCTCTTCCCTCACTCTCTTCCCTCACTCCAAGCTCTTCCCTCTCTCGGGGCACGCACAGGGCTTCCCTTAGTGGTGCCTCCGTTGGTGTTGGGTCAAGTTTGAGCTCTGAGAGAAGCTCTTCCCACACTCGTAGGGCCTCTCCCCAGTGTGGATGCGCCGGTGCTTGGTGAGGTTGGTGTTGCGGTTGAAGCCCTTCCCGCAGTCGGGGCAGCGGAAGGGCCTCTCCTCTGTGTGACTCCGCTCATGCAGGAGGACACCGGAGCTGGTCAGAAACTTCTTCCCACACTGGGGACACTCGTAGGGCCTCTCCCCTGTGTGGAGGCGCTGGTGTGTTCTCAGGGCAGAGCTCCACCCAAAGCTCTTCCCACATTCCAAGCACTTGTAGGGCCGTTCCCCGGTGTGGATCACCTCGTGCTTTATCAGGCCAGACCTGTCTTTGAAACCCTTCCCACACTTCCCACACTCGTAGGGCATCTCCCCGGTGTGGATGCGCCGGTGCCTGGTGAGGTGGGAGTTTCGCTTGAAGCCCTTCCCGCAGTCGGGGCAGCGGAAGGGCCTCTCCTCTGTGTGAATCTGCTCATGTACGAGGAGATCGGAGCTGGTCGGAAACCTCTTCCCACACTCCCCACACTCGTAGGGCATCTCCCCGGTGTGGATGCGCCGGTGCACGGTGAGGTTGGAGTTGTGCTTGAAGCCCTTCCCGCAGTCGAGGCAGCGGAAGGGCTTCTCCTCTGTGTGACTCCGCTCATGTCTGAGGAGATGGGAGGTGGTCCGAAACCTCTTCCCACACTCCCCACACTCATAGGGCCGTTCCCCAGTGTGGATCCTCTGGTGCTCGGTCAGGTTGGAGCTCCAGCTGAAACCCTTCCCACATTCCAAGCACTTGTGGGGCTTCTCCCTGCCATGAGGCTTCTCCACCAGCTCCGAGCTCCGGCTGGATCTCCGCCCGCCTTCCTGGCTCAGGGGGGCTCTTTCCTCCCCGCAGCTCCCTGGGCTGGGTTTGCAGCTCCTCCTCCTGCAGCATCTCTGGGGCTTTTCCTCCTCCTCCATCCAGCCACGCCTAGGGAATGAAAAATCCTGATTTGGGGAAAAAAACAAGAGGAGAGCACCTTGGACTGGAGATTCCTCCTTGCTCCAGTTTATCTCAGGAAGTCATTGGGAATCTTGTGTCTGTAAGAACCTCCAAAACACCAAGATTTAGCCCAAAAATCCCACAAACTTCAAGATACGGATAAAAAACTCCCCAAACATCACAAGTCAGCAAAAACCTCCTCCAAAACATAAAGATTCAGCTGCCACATAAAACCAAGGCACCAACATTTAGCCCAAGCAAGCTCAGAAACACCAAGATTCGCCCTGTGAAAATCCTGGATCCCCCTCCACAGTCACCTGCTGCATGTGGGGGAGCAACACTCCTGGGGCAGGGGGGAGGCTGCAGATACAGGGAGGGGTGGAACCTTCTGCTGCTTCCTATTTCTGCTCCTTCTCCTCCTCCTGTGTCTCTCCTCTTCCTCACACTCCTCTTCCTCCTGCTATTCCTCCTTCTCCTGCACAATCCCACCCTCTCCTGCCACCTGCATCGTTTGACCATTCTGTTCCTCAAGCCTGCTTCTCCTTCCCTTCTCCTCCTGCCCCCAGGCCCAGCACCCACTGCCGGCTCCCTCTTCCCCCCAGACCCACAGCATCCCAGCCGAGGGGCAGGGATGGAGCTGGGGCAGGTCGGGCTGGGGCAGCGCTGGGCTCTCGGCCGCTCCCGCCCGCACTCGGTCCCCACTGCAGCCGCTCCCGACAGGACAGCGCGGGGGGGCCCGGCCTTGGCGCTGCCCCACTCCCACCTCCCCAAATTCCCCTCGCAGGGGCGATGGGGCCGAGGGGGGGTGTCCAGTTGGGGAAGGCTCAGAGGGCCAGGGAGATGTAAACAAGGGAGTGACAGGAGAAGCCATCGGTTTCAGAAAATGTTATCAGTTAATGACACAGACTGCTGCTCAGCCAAGGTCCTGCTCTATTCATGAACTTCCAGAAGAACAACAAAGACTTAACAGAGCCGTGAATATCATTTGCTATAAAAAAGTGGGGAGCATATTAAGTTGGGTATGTAGAAGGTGGACTGGGAAGTATGTAGCTGTCAAGTACTTCAGCCAGTGGGGAAAGCAGAGGGAGATGTGGCCAGGAGAATTAGGATTAAAAGGATGTGGGAATCCAGGGCTTCCCTTTGGCTACCCTGGCAGGTCTGGGACCCTGGCAGGGGGTCAGGAACCCCCCTGGACAGAGCCCCGAGAGACACTGTCTGTGATCTCTGTCCATGGAGAGGAGTTTTCAATCTTACAGGATGAATTACAAGCTTTGAGTGTTTGATAAGAGTAATAATTAAGTGTGACACGGGTGCAAAAGTAAAATTTTAGGTTTCTAGATTAGGGGTTCAGAGGGGACAAGATGGAGGAATTGGGTGTGTCTTGTCCTTTTCCTCCTTCTTCATGCCCTCCATGTTTCACTGTAGTGTTGGCATTTTTCTATTGGTTTAGGCTGGGAACACACTGTTCAACGTAGATGATAGATATTGGCACATTATTGTAAATATAGTACAGGTAGTTTCTGGTATATAATGTTTGTACCATCCCACTGAGGGGCAGAGCCCCACACACTGCCCTGCAGGACAGACCTGCGGCAGGGCAGCAGAACATGTTAGAGATAAGCAAGAATAAACAACCTTGAAAACAGCACAGACGAATTATGGCTTCTTCTTTGGCAACGGGGCAGAAAGACAGAGACTTTCTACAATCTCGGAATCACCAATACCCACAGATTCCGACAAAAGGAGGCTGTGTATACCAACAATTGGAGAGATCCCATGGGGAATGTCCCATGGCCTCTCCCATTTTTAGAAATGAAATTACTTTTGCAGGACTCCTCTGTCTGCTTTGTGGACAGAATTCTCTGGTGATGTCAATTTTTTTTGCACACACTGGGGCTCATCCCGAATTCCTTCCACCTTCCGGGGCGGGCAGGGAGAGCAGCTGAAGGTGCCTCACCCACTTTGGGTGATCGGCTCCCTTGGCTGGCGGCGGCACCGGGGATTGATTGGGGACCCGGGAGTGACCAGGAGACAGACGAGTGACACATCAGGGGGGTCTGTGAAGAGTCAGCAGGGAGAGAGCACTGAAAATCTCATCAGTGAGTGCCCTGGGATCTTCGGGGAGTGAACATGGGGAAAGCCAGGGAGGGGTCATGGCCAAAGGGATGATGATCCCAAAATGTCTCTGAAGGGTCCCTTGGGAGAATGCTGAGGTAGTTTGCACATTCCCCCAGAGGTAATTAAGGACATGGACACCCGGGGGGGCAATAAGGGAAGGGGAGAAGGGATTTGGACAACAGGGGATGGATGGTGTTGGTGTGCTGGGAATGGATTGGGTGCAGGGGAGTGTGCAGCAATATGGTTCAGGCAAGAAGCAGCAGGAGGAATGTGTGTGGTAAGAAAAAGGATGATGGCAAAGAGGAGGAACAGAAAAATACTCAGGATTGGGATGTTTTTCAGCAGGGTCTTATCCTGACAATTTGCCAGCTGATACTTTGAATTCCCGGTTTCCAGGAGAGGAAAAGCAGGAGGTCAGGATGTCAGGGGTTTCTCTGTGGTGGGCAGCGGCAGCAGCGGGCGCAGAGGTGTGGGACCGGGAGCAGGGCTGGGGGCCTGTGGGGAGCTGCGGGGCCGGGCCGGGGCTGTGGGGCAGCCGGGGCTCAGCGCCGGGCGCTGCCTGAGCCCACCAGCCCCGGGCAGGGCCGGCAGTGGCCCCCGGCCCCAGGAGGCTGCGGGACGCCCCGGCCGCTGCCCGGCCCCGGGGAGCTGCCGGCCCTGCCCGCCGGGGGGGCCGCCTTTGGACCCTGCGGCAGGACAGGCACCGGCTCTGCCATCCGGGCTGTGCAGGGGACCCTGAGCACAAGGAGCAAAACAAAGGAACATCTGGAAACGCAGATTTTCATGGTTGGTCATAGAAGTGAATTTTCTCAGGTAGCCGGTCTCAAAGCAATCAGTGGTCAGGTTTGGATATTGACACCTGGAGTGGCCACTGAAGGCACGGGCACGCCTCTGAGAACACAGGGTTCAAAGCAAGAACTCCCAGCAGAACTGTCTCTTTGCAGAGTGCAGACTCTGCCCCGCCACCACGGGCTGGGTGGGGGAATGGAAGCCCTGAGGCCTGGGAGGGATAGGCCAGGGGGAGGAAACCTGAGATGTCTTTGTTCCCCACGCCCCCACACCACCAGAGGGAAACAGACAGAGAGGCTGAAGGCACCTGGAATTTCACTGGCAGAGGAGAAGGAGAAGGGGGAGAAACATTCCCAGCCCTGGGAGTTGGGGTCTGGGCTGAGATTTCAGCAGCCAGGGGAGTCCAAGACTTTTAACCCTTTCCTGGGAAATTAAAGCTTTGTGAAATATTACTCCTCCTCCACTTGAAAGAGAAAAGAGACAGTCTGGGACCTGCGATGTTAGGGAAAGAAGATTGGGGGGGAAGATGATGGAGTGGCTTTTGGCTGGACTTTTCTTGTAAGCCATTGACTGAACCAGTTTCTCCTGCAACAGAGACTGCATCTTTAGGGGAATGCAATGGTGAGCCAAGAGACCTTCTTCAGCAAATTCCAGCACAGGAATGGAGTGAACAGAGGAAAGCTGAGGAGGGTGTGGTGATGCCCTCTGTCTTCAGGAAGAAGAAGATCTCTGTTCCCACTCTCAGCCCCAGGGGAGGAGGAAAATGGGGGGGTCCCAAAATGAAAACTGAACTGTTGTTCCTTTTGTTCCTTGGCAGAGCATCCTTAAAGGAGGGTGAGGGCAGTGTGACATGGCAAGGAGAGTGTCACACTGGCAGATTTTCTCTGGGCAGTGCCATGTGTGACATGGAAACACGAGAGGTGGCAATTGTGTTTCCTGGGGGTCTGTAGCGCAAGAGAGACTCCTCTCTCCCCTGATAGACTGAGTATTGATTATCTGAAAGGTGATGACCTGATTGAGGGTCCAAGTTGTGTCCCACTGTGATTTGCTGGAGTTTGGGTGCAGGGAAGAGGAATGTTTTGGAAGGTTTTAATTCTGGATGTAGTGTGTATCTTTTATTATAGTAGTAGCTTAATAAAGTTCTTTCTCCTTTATTTCTAATCTTAGGCCTGCTCTGCTCTGTTCCTTACTGCATCTCACAGCACTTATTTGGGAAGCTGGATTTCCATGGGGACACAGGCATTGTGCCAGCATCAAAACATGACATGATGGTACATGAAGGATCAGGATTTTCTGTTAAGGATTCGGTTTGGGTCCCTGCAGAAAGGAAAGATTTTGCAGAAAGCTCAGCAGCTCTCAGAGGATGAGCACCCACAGGCAGTGACCGGGGCTGCAGGAGTGGCACAAGAAGGCCCTGCAGCACTTGGGCACAAAGGCACAGCAGCTGAAGGCAAGGAGGGATGAGCAAAAGGCCAAGCTGAAGGCAAAGGCCATGGCAGAGTTCCCACAGCCCCTGAGGGACCAACCCCAGGGCCCAAGGGGGCCCCAGCACCCAGGGGACGGCGTCGGCCACAAGCACCTGGCAGAGGCATTGCCCTCCTGGCCAGGGCAGAGCCCACCCAAACAGCCCCTGGGAAGGAGTCAGGGCTCCAGCTGCAGCCCACAAGGACACTGCAAGCACAGACAGCAGCACCCTCAGGAGGAGCGAGTCCACCCCTGCATGGACATGGATTGTCAGGGCTCTCTGAGCTCCCATCCCACCGGGGACCCACCACACTGCAGCCCTGGAGAACATCCAGGCTGCGTCTGCATCCAGAGGAGGCCTCTCCTGATGGACACAGGGGCCTCTCCATCCACTCTGAATCTTACACCTAAGGGGGGAAAATTGTAAAGGAATGTTTTCATTATTAAGGGAATAAATGGGAAAGCTGAGTTGGTATAATTTGTACGATCACTATTAGGAGCTGTGGAGGATAGGTTTGAAATAAACTAATTTCTTTTTCTTCCTACTGTGATTGTAATTAACTAGGAAGGAATTTGATGGTGGCATTGTAATACTGTAAAAGGTGATACAGAGGCTATTGCTGCTGTACCTTTGTGTCAAATGTCTGGCAAGGCCTATGCTGAGTGAACCCAGAGGTGTGGGCAACCCCAGGGAAAGAGGGAAAATTTGATGTGGAGCCTCTCCAAATTACTTGGAAGCAACCAGGACAAGTGGGGGCTAAAAGCAACACCCTGTTCCAGGGGAGGGAAGGAAGGGCTCACAGCCTGGTATGGAGTCCCTGCTAAAGGCAGGGTTTTTGGAGCCAGGGATGTCTCCCTACAGCACTCCTATCCTGCCAGTCAGGGAATCAGATGGCTCCAATGAAGAGGACAAGAAGAAGTGATGGACAAAGCCTCTGTGAAATGGCTGAATTTTCATGTTAAAAATGTCTTTTGAGTATTTGAAAAAAAAAAAATGCAAATGGATAAGAAAAAGGTTAAATATTTGGGACATACTGGAATTGAAGATGCCTGGTCGATTGATCCAGAGAGGGTCTGGGCAATCTCAGAAGTAACGTTATCCAGGACCAAAAAGGAGCTGCGACAATTCTGAGAATTAATAGGGAATGACACAGTCTGGATTGAGGATTCTCTGTTCCAGCCAGAACATTGTAGGACTTTGTAACCCCAGACAGCCTCCATGCTGTGGTATGGACAGGAGAAAGTGAATAAAACTTGAAAAAATGAAAACCCAAAAATATTGATGGCTCAGCTGTGGCTCTTCCAGACTCAGAAAAGAAATTAAAATTGTAGGTGAATGTTAAACAGGGCCATGCCAAAGGAATTCTTGGGCCAAAATGTTTCACCCAGTGGCCACAGTGGCCTCATTGTCTGCAGAATTGTGCAGCCACAGCTTCAACGGGAACCGAGGCCCAAAACCTGATGACAACAGGATCTCCAACTGTTCCAGTCTGCCATCAAGTTCAAGCTCTGATAACCAAAAGAGCCTCGCAATGGATGAGCAGTGCTCGGTTATTACAGTGTGAAACTTGTTCAGTGGCACAGGAGGATTCAGAACTGAGGACAGGGGAAGGGTTTAACCCAGCCTCCTGTTTGAACAGCCCCCAGAGGGGCTGGGAAGAAACCCAGCACTGCATTCCAGTGACACAGCTCCAGACCCAGCCTGGGGGAGATTCAGGAGACATTGCCTGGCCTGAGGCAGAAAATGTCTTTGTGGATGGCTCTTCAAGGGCAGCAGAAGGGAAAAGAGTTCCAAGACATGCTGTTATTGAGGAAAGGGAATCAGACAAAGCCAAGGTTAGCCCCATGGTCAGCTCAACCGGCACAGCTGTGTGTGCTTGTAAGAGCCGGGCACTGAAATGCCCTGGGCAGGAAGGCTTCAATATCTTCTGGGGGTGGCCCCAGGGCAGGTGGCAGTGTGTGCAAGGGCCCTTTGTGACACGGTGCAGCATGGTCACCGTGGAATGGAACAGGACAGGGTATCCAAGGGCCCTTTGTGACACGGTGCAGCATGGTCACCATGGAATGGAACGGGACAGGGTATCCAAGGACCCTTTGTGACACGGTGCAGCATGGTCACTGTGGAATGGAACGGGACAGGGTATCCAAGGGCCCTTTGTGACACGGTGCAGCATGGTCACCGTGGAATGGAACGGGACAGGGTATCCAAGGGCCCTTTGTGACACGGTGCAGCATGGTCACCGTGGAATGGAACGGGACAGGGTATCCAAGGGCCCTTTGTGACATGCTGTGGCATAGGTTTTGGCAGTGACAAGGCCACTCCACAGTGCTCTGTGCACGCGACGAGACAGGACGGAGAGAGCGGTGCTGTGAGGAGCATTGGCACAGCCACTCATTCCTTGCTGACGTGGAGCTTTCCCGAGGTATTACTCCTGCAGGTGAGCTTGTGGCCAGACCAGAGCACTTGGTGACCCCTGGCCTTCCCAAGGCATCTCTTCTGCAGCTGCCCTCGAGGGCAGACCGTGGCATTTGCTTTGCACCGTCCTTGACAGGAGTCTCCTGTCATTGTGGCTGGAGCCCCCAAGACCAGAGTGCAGGACTCGCTGTCCTGTAGCCTTGCCAAGACTTCACTCTTGCAGGTGCCCTCAAGGCACGACTGCAGCACTTGCTGACTCGGACCTTTTCCTTTTCACCTTCTGCAAGTAGCCATGAATCCAGGCAGTGACGCAGAGCACAGACCTGCGAGCGTGCCCAAGCTGGCCTGGGGGAAGGAGGAGAAAGAAGGCCCTGGAGCTGCCCCAGCACAGCAGCCTGAAGAGGTGGAGCAGTTCCAGCCACCGCAGAGGGGTGAGTGGCAGAGCTGGGCCACAGGGCTGGTGCCTGCAGCCAGCTTGGCCCCATGCCATGCCATGCCATGCCATGCCATGCCATGCCATCCCATCCCATCCCATCCCATCCCATCCCATCCCATCCCATCCCATCCCATCCCATCCCATCCCCTGGGGCCATGCCCATGGACAGGATGGAATAGGGGCCGGGCAGACACCCCACAGCCGTGCTCCATGCCCTGGGGCGGCACGGGGCTGTCCCTGCCTGGGCAGCGCAGGGCTGGGCTGTGTTCTCCGGCCTCTCCCGCAGCCCCTCAGCTCGGGCCGCGCTCGCTCTTTGCCAGGTGCAGCCGTGCAGCGCACACGAGAGCAGGAACGCACCCGTGGCCGCTTCCGCAGAACAGCGCAGGTCCCTGCAGCCATCCCCACCTGGGCTGGGCCTGCTGGCACTGCTCAGCCCAGCACTGTGCTCGGAGCACTCCATGCAACATCCCGGGCTTCTTGCCCTTCTGCTACAGATGGTTTGCAAATTCATGAAGAGGATTCGGGAGGAAGAGAGCAGCATCGTGGGCACTGTGGTCAGAGCGTACTCTCCCATCTTCAAAACCAAGACCAGTGCTGCCCTGCTGGATATGCTTGTGGAGGAGGGTCCTTCCAGCCCAAAGCAAGTGAGCAGCCTGTGGCCTGGCTTTTCTCCTCCCAGCAGTTGTGTGGCCTCCCAAGCCACGCCTGCTGCTCCCTGGAAGCCTTTGAGGCCATGGCAGTGTGGTGGCAAGGGAAGCACTTCTCTGGGGCAGCTGGGCACATTCCTTCCTCTGGCAGCTTTCCAAGTCTCCCCTGCCTTCTCCAGGTGCCGGCCATGGTGAGGTACATCCACCAGTGGCTGGTGGCCAATGAGTTTCCTGAGTACAATCTGTACAGGCCCCTTCTGGATCTGACAGAGGCACAGCCCTCTGACGTGGTGATGGCTCTCCTGCGTGTGGCCCCAGTGTGTGACAGGTACGGGGCCCACCTGCCCAGAGGGCTCAGGGCTCAGCAGCCCTTCACCCTGTACAGCCTGTCCCAGGTGTCTGACCAACAGAGAATTCCAGGGCCCTCTGGCTGCTCCCTTTGCCAGCCCTGGCCCCTGCCAGCCCCCCAGCATGCTGCCATGCTTCCCCCCTGCCCCTCAGGGCCAGTCCCCACAGGGCTGGGCTGCCTGCGTGCTGCCAGTGAGGGGCAGTGGGCAGAGGCAGGGCTGGCAGAGCAGCTCAGCTCCCCGCTGCCACCCAGGCCACGCTGCTGTGTCCCAGACTCCTCTGAGACAGAGCTCTGACCCCACAGAGCTGCTTTGGCCATGTGGAAGAGCATCATGTGCACGCCCAGGACTGCAGAGCCAGCCATGCTCGTACTCCTCGATGTGCTGGGGAGCTGGCCAGAGCACAGCACGTGCACCTCCGATGGGGACCACACGGCTGTCCTTGCCCTGGCTGTGAGTTTCTGCCTTTGCTGGCCCCAAGGCCACCTCTCCAGCAGCTCTCCATCCTCCCTTCCCCACGGCGTCTCCCTTCCTCAGGCGCTGGGCTGAAACCTGGCCTCGGGGCAGCTTCAGGGCCACCAGGCCCGGTGCTCCCCCTTCGGTGCTCCCCCTGCGTCTCTCCGGGCCTCTCCCTCCCGTACTGGGCCCTGCCACACGGACACCTCGGCACTGAGCGCTGTCTCGGGCTGCTCTGTCCTTTGCAGGCAACCGTGGTGATGTGGAAGATCCTCCAGCTGCCCTGTGTGCCACATGTAGTCACCGTGTGTTTCCCCTGCCTCTTTGTGCATCTGCTCTTCCAAGTGCTCTTCAGCACTCTGGATATGCCAGAGGAGGTCGATACCTTCTGGGAGGGATGCCAGCAGCAACACGGCCTTGCCACCAACCCCAGCAGGTGCTCCATGCCAGTCCTCCTGTCCTTGCCACATCCCTGGGCAGGGGCCAGTGCTCCCAGCGTGACCTGGGCTTTGCTCTGCGCACAGCTTTGCAGAGCAGACCCTGAAGGCCCTGCTCGGCCGACTGCACTATGAGGATGTGGTGGTGGCCATGGAAGACAAGGGTGGCTGGGACACACTGCTCTGTGCTGACACCCACCACTGTGCTGTGGGCGTGCTGGCCAGGTGAGACCCCCTGCTCCCCAGCTGTCCCCGGCATGTTTGCCCTGTGCCCCAGGTGCCCCACACAGTCCCCGTGGCCGTGGGCCAGAAGCCCTTGTCACCAAGGGACAGCCAAGGAGGCTGCAAAAGGCTGGGAGAGGAGCGTGCCCAAGAGCAGCAACCTCCCAGAGGGCTCAGCTGCCCCTTGCAGGGTGCTGGAGAAAGGCCAGACCTCTGGGAGGCAGTCCTGGGAGAGGTTTGCCCCCGCTGGCTCAGGGTTTGGCTCCTATTTCCTCCTGTCAGAGAAATGCACCGTGCATCCGAAGCCGTGTGTTCCGCGATTGCATTCCAGCTGCTCGGGCTGCTCAGCAAAGACACGCCATGCCGGGATTTGGCCGCCCTGGCGTTCCTTGTGGAGGTGAGCCTGAAGGCCAGCGCTGCCTCGCTCAGCTGCCTCCCGGCTCTCTGCCCTCTCTTGGCCGCAGTGTCTGGGACGGAGCCCGCGCCCTGTGCTGCTGCCTGGGCCCG